TCCCTCTACCTGGCTAGTTTCTTGCTGGGGCAGGACAAGTTAGCAACTCTAAGAAGCTGAAGAAAATGTCTCTCCAACAACATCATCTAACCCTTCCATTTCTTTGTCTTGCTAAATATCTCATTTGAGTTGGGACACTTCACCGTGCTACAATATGTGGATGAGTTTGTATCATGATGTGCTATCAAAGAGACACCCTTCAAGGTGGAGGATGGAAAGCTAGTCCTAAATGCATAAGCTTTTTAATGGGCATATAGAAAGAAGGGAATTCAAGCTCAGGTGATTGTTGTTTTTGTTATTAAGTGTTTTTGTTATTAACAAGTGTTTCATACTCAGTCCCAGGGTTGTCCACATATGGTATTTACTCATTAAAAATATTATTTTTTTCTCCATTTAACAGGTGTGGGAGGGAATACCTCTTCTTAGAATCAAGTGTGAAGCATCAGGGACAGGAAGCTGCTGTAGCTCCAGTTCTGGCCACAACCCCAGGTTGGGGCTGGAGTGGGAGCTGCTGTCTGCCCTGCATTGCCTCTGCATCCCCAGCTGCTCTTCCCCTCCAGCCTTGGGCCCCCTCTGCACTCAGTTGCCTCCCTATTCAGCTTCTCCCTCCTTTATCCTTCCTGACAAACTCCCCCTTACCTTTGCTCCCATGCCAGCAGGCTTCATCAGCACTGTAGCCTGGAGCAGAGAGCGTGGAGAACAGCCCCAGCCTGGCCTTGTGCCACCACTACAGGGCTGGGCTGGAGCTGTGCTCAGGGTCTCAGTCTGCAGTGGAGACAGAGCCTGCCAGAGCCATAGAAAAGGTAAGGGGTTGGAAGGGGCAGGCAGGGTGTAGTGATTTGGGGGATGAAAAGGGGGAAGGGAGATGGTGACCTGAGGCTGTGGCAGGGCAGAAGCAACATGGAGAGGGGAAAGGGGGGAATGAAGTGTAGGACCCTCATTCTCCCCTTTTGTGTAGGCAAAAGATGGGGTAAGTGGCAGGAGATAGGCAGCAGGGGGACAAAACTGAATGCTTTCCTCACTGCCTTCATATTGCCCTACTGCCTTCTTACTGCCTGTTGTCACAACTAAAAGAAATTTATGCCCATGTCACTAGCAAGAAACGAAACTTAAGATTGGTCAGGGTGAAAGGGGATATCCCTGCAATAAATCCCTGACATAAAACCCGAGCGAAAACTGCTATATAATTGGAGATTTAACGAGAACCAGATGACGTGGCTTAAATCAATTGGTTATAGCACAAACAAAAACATCTTGCACTTCCGCCCAAATCGGAGAACTCTGAGCACACAGCAGAGTAAACTTGGCAGACTGATCACCCACCAACGACTCCCCGTCATAGACTGTCCCGACGTAACCAGAATCCCCCTGCAGGCTCATTAACTCGTTGACGGCTCGTTAACTTGTTCACGGCGCCTCGTTCGTCACGCTGGCTCGATTGTAACCTGATACGTATGCTCGGCTGTAACTAGAGCAAGTCTGCTACCTGCGTCGTATTTCATCCTGAGGCGGCGTAAGTAAACAATCTCCTATAACCAACACGCGTGTGTGCCTGGTTAATTTCACTCCATCCATCAATTACCCACCTGTCCAGTTAAAAGTCTGAACACTCCGGTGGGAGTCAGAATGCAGCTGCCGACGGCTGCTCTGATTCATGACACCTGTCTCCCACTACTTCCACCACCTTCTTCCTTGCTGCCTCTTCAGCAAGCCCCCTACCACCTGCCCTTTACTTCCTCCCTGACAGCCTGCCCCATTCCTTCCCCCCACTTCCCCTCCACTACCTGCCCCATTACTGCTCCACAGCCCCACAATGTCACCTTACTGCCTCCCCACTGCCCCCTATTGCCTTCCACATTACTGCCCCTCAACAGCCCACCACCTGCTTGCCCCTTACTGCGCCCCCACTGCTCTTCCACTGTCTGCCCCCTTACTGCATCCCCACTACCAGACCCTACAACCTGCTGTATTACTGCTCCCTCATTGCCTGTCCTCCCATCATCTACAGTGGAAGAAGGGATACATTTCAGACAATACCCCAATAATTTGATTCTATACATGGAAAAGTATAATAAATTTAAACAAATTTCCATGTATAGAATCTAATTTTTGGGAGGTACTCTTAAATTCAGGGTCAACTTAGGTTCAGATAAATATAGCACTTTTGCTTTTTATATAATATTTTATAATATTTTTTATGATTTTTTAAAATATTGTTATAATAAAGGTTTAAAAAGTCAAAAATCTCTCTCTCACACCTTTGTCTCTGGGAGAAAATCAGGATCCTTGCTCATCAATGTACCTTAGGCAGCTTAGGGGGATGAGAGAGCAATTGTGGATTAAGTGAACTTCAAGGTCTGTCATAAATAAATCCACATTTTACCATGATTCAAATGAAACACCACTGTATATTTATCTATATATTAGTGGTGTTTCATTTTGATCATGGAAAAATGTGGATTTGGGGTTACTTTTTTAAAACTGAAAATTGTGGATTTTTTTTTTTGTTTTGTTTTTAATCAGAGAAAACCAGGATCCCTATTGATGACATCTTCACTGTTTGGACACATTGGAAGGATCTCTTTGAGGAATTTCACCAGTACTTTAACAACTTCCACCCCTCCATCAAGCAAACTCTGAAATACTCCACTTGGCAAATTAATTTCTTAGACACTGAAGTGAAGATTTGCAATAGCCACCTCTCCACCACTTTATATTGGAAACCAACCAACTGCCACAGCTACCTTCACACTTCCTGCTTTCATCCTAGTAACATGACTAGATCCAGTGTCTACAGTCAAGTTCTATGTTCCAGCCATATCTGCTCTGATTCCAGAACCTGGATACATGTCTTAAGGGTCTGGAGCCAGGATTTTCAAAATCACATTGCAATACAAAAGCTTAATGCCACTCAAATCAACAAAGCCAGACTCAGACCTTGCTCTGCCCTGCTACCTTACCAGCCCCAGGACAAAGACAACAGAGTGTCTCTGCTTGTCACCTACATCCCCCAGCTTGAACACCTTAGACGTATCATGAATGACCTCCGACCGCTCCTGGAAAAGGAAGATTGTCTCAAAGTAGCCACGAGGCAAAAACCTGTTCTGTCTTACAGACAATCCCCCAGCATCAAACTACATCTCTTCAGCCACAGGACACCTCCCACACTCACTGAAGCACCAGGGCATACAACAGACCCATATGCCATCTGTGGTCCAGCATCAATACAGACCATATTAACACTCGATTGAATAACACACATTATAACATCTGAGATTCATTCAGTTACAACAATACCAATGCCATATATGCTATCACCTTCTTAGAGTATCCATCTGTTGTCTACATCAGACAGAAGGGGAGAGCCGTATGTGAAAGAATGAAAGAACAACACTAGGACATCAGCTGCAAAAAGACATACAGGCTTGTAGCAGAACACTTTGGGCACTGACACAAGTGACATTTTGTCCCATGATCGGCCTCCTCAAGTGCTCTATAGCCATGTCTTTACATAAGAGCACAGCTGCAGAGTGCTTTAAAAGGGCGTGATTCCATGACAATCTGAACACTCATGTAAATGTAATGTAATGTAATGAGGGTTCAAATGAAGGAGCTCCAAAGTGGAGAATGTTCATTAACTTGTGTCAGCACATGCCAGGAACAGAACTGGGCTGACACGGCCCAGCCCTGCTCCTGGCACTGTCTTCAGAATGGGAGTGGGGGAGGAGGGAATTGCATCAAAGTTTTGCCCAGCTGGCACTGGAGGGTGGGGTGGGTGATGACAATACAGAATAATCACTTCTTGATAAAAAATTCATCACATCACACAGCAATATGTCAATATGGCTTTCCACGAGCCCCAGGTGTGTTAACATTGTGAAAGATAAATTTTGAATATGCCTGGAGACTTGTTCCCAGAAAGATGGGAAGATTTTGGAAATATCATGAGAGTCATATAATGCAATGTTTCCCTCTACCCCACCCTCTATATGCTGATAGGCAATGGTGCGATCCAGAAATAAACGTAACTTTTGACATCTAAACATTTCTGTGAAGACCTTTGTATACAATTATTTAAAGCAATTATAAGCCAATGCTTTTAACTTAATCATTTATGTGGCCTTATTTCTAATTTAAATGTAATACAGAAATTTTCATTTAATGTTTCTTAATATTGTGCAGAGCAATTTTTTAGACTGATTGTCTATACGTGTGCCAAAAAGGTTATATGCCCACTTTTGAAGTTATAATCTAAAGTGTAACAGAGACAGATATAAAGTAGATTTATACAAAAAAAATCTTTAACTAATACATGTATTGTCTCTTTAAATAGCATCATCTTCTTTTCCAAAGAATTTCACAAGAGATTTCTATTTATAGTACATCAAGCTGATTCTCATACTAAAAGCAATGTGTTATATTTTCCTAAAGGCTATTATAGCAAAGATTGCCAACTGCATTGTCAACTGTGCTAAAGGAGATCTTTCTTATATCCTATAATGCTACCTGAAGTACTTCATCTTATTTTATGCTAAGTCAGAATTCTACTATATCCCTCCCTAGTGCTCTTTGGTCATTTTATTTATTTATTCTATTCTATTTATTTCTTAGGAATGTAGGTGGAGAAGCTGCCAAAGAATCTCTGCTTGTCAGATATTCAAATATGCTATAAAATAAATTCCTGATCTGAGTCAGACAGTTGGTCCAATAAAGTATATCACCCACAAAAACTTTTTCCTTATCCTCACAGATTTTCAAATGCAAATGAGTTACTTAGCTGGCTGGCATAGAAGCTGCCTTACTTAGCTGGCTGCCTGTTTTACACATGCTAGTAACCTCATTTGAAATAAAAGAAACTGTTTGTGTAAGAAAGGTTAACAAGGCTACCAGGTATTTTTACAACTGAACCTTTCTAAGTTGAATACTCATTTTAGCTATTAAGAACTACATGAAGTACAAAATTTGATCTTAATTATCAGATACATAATTTTATAATTAAAAAAACAATGTGCAGCCTTCTTAGCCAGATGAATGCCTATGCACATACACATACATACACATGCATACACATGGAACATGTTAATTCATAGGTTCCTAATATTTTTATTAGCCTTTTACCTGTGGGGAAGAAGCACAGATTTCTTAAAGGGAATTTCTGTTTCAGAGCTTCTCCTTTTCCTCACCTCCCTATAACCAGACATAGTATATCCTTGGAAATCTTCATAATCCATCATTTATTTAGATTTACAATAGGGAGATTTGTTCAGTAAATTTCATATATTGACACTGAATAACTATTTCTCCAGCTAATCATCATAAGAGTTCAGAGACAGATAAGCTAATGTAAAACTCATGTCTGTAGGTAAGTGAACTGGAAAATAAGAATTTCTTTATCAGGAAAGCTGTTTTTTTTTTTGTATTTGTTATTTGTATGTGGAAACTAAAAATAACTGTTAGACATGTTTTAAAAGCTTGTGAGTTAATGCTATCTGATTAACCATGTGAACAATAATCTAAGCAGGTTCTCCATATTAAACTAGAAGAAAACACGAAGTACTGTAATCTAATAAAAAAGAAAAAGAAAAATCATCCAATGACAATTTATCTGAATATATTTATTCCTAGCAAGTGTCAAGCTTCCACTGACAGCTACTGGCAGTACATGCCAGTACACTGACAGCGCCTGTAGGTGTCAGGGACATTACAAGATAGTTAACATGATCTCTGAAGCATGTTATTTTGCTGAAAGAAACCTTTCAAAAAGTTTACCAAATGCAAGTCCTTTAAGTTACATATGAGAAAGCTTTAAAGACTTTGATTTCTGTTTAGAATGACAATCTTGTCCTCTTATGAAATAGGAATTTAAGTTAACCTTTGCCAAAAACCTTGAATATTTCTTAAGTAGCATGTGCTAGAGTCAAGCTACTTTTTTTCTGATGAATTGAGATAGGACCCATTGACTACTAACCCTAAAAAGGAAGACCATTATCCCGTTCCAGACAGCTATAAATCTAGGGTGATAAAGCATAGAGTCTCTGAATTGGCCATCTCTTAGGTTGTAACAGATAATCCTGGACTTCTCTTTACTATATATGCATGACAAAGTAATACATTTGCATAAGTAAGGGGGCGGGGTCCTAAAACCCAGGTCTTCTACTCCGCAGGTGACTGCCCTAGTCATTTGGCTACTCAATAGAATACATGAATAAATGCTCTTGTTCTTTCTGTTGCCACTGTGAGCGTACATAGTCATACACATATGCAGTGCAATCCACACAGAAACAGAAGTTTGGTGTATAAGTGCCAAAAATGCTAACTAGATGACCAAAAAATGGCCACTTAGAACATCAGGAGAAGAAAGATTGCCATCTACTGTCACCAAAAAAAAATCTAAACTAATTATGGTACTGCACAGAATTACCTAGTTTTGTTTTTTGGATTTTTTTGTTGTTTTGTTTTGTTTTTTTTTACTGATCTGTTCTCTTTATTGTATTTTGTCCTTTCTTTGCTATGGATTGCAATCTAAGTTTATTCTTCAGGACACAAATATTTCATAGGAGCAGCAGGAAGGTATCTTCCTTGATGCACAATATTTAAGAAAGTGCTTTATGAGAATTTTAGTTTTCTTTTGGGGCTGGACAGATAACATACTTACACAGGTGTAAATCAGTTTGTAACACAAAATAAAATAGCCTTTGAAATGGTTAGAAGTAGTATTTTGTTGTAATGTTTCCAGGCTTTTTGAATATATGTAATACACTCAGAAGTGTTAGATTTTTCACAGCTAGACATGCCTGACTTGGTGTCTATATAAGAGATAATCCTCCTGACATGGCTTTGCTAGTGTATCCTAAATTTTCAAATAATTCCCTGCTTACATGGTGAATAATTGTTGTATTGCTAGGTGGTTGGGAAACCAATTTTATAGTATCAAGTATTTCAGCAGTCTTAGCTAGATAGACACTGCAGTGTAATCAACAGACAGGAAGTATTGCATTGCTTTTGTTTCATGTTGCAGTTAAAGTCTTTCATCTGGTCTATAAAAATCTACCGAGTCATTCGCAAGGTTTTGTTTGTTATCTGTGAAGCTGATAAGCCGCTTTTCCTATTAAAACATCTGGAGTCTTTGATTTTGCATTTGTCTGTTTTGTCATGATATAGGCCACTAACACAGTCGGTCCGCCCTTTGTCTTTTTTTAGCACTGATGCTTTCCAAACATTTAAGGTTAGCAATCCATCTGGGACAGCTTTATAATAGAAGCCTCTCTTGTCTGTACTGTATATTGACCTGATTATGTTCTTTGAGGATGTCAGGTAAATGCTAGAATCCAGTGTTTAGCAGTGAGTGTGTTGGCATCTTTCTTTTCTCCATACACCTTTTTAAAGGTGACTTTAT